GGTCTGTCGGGTGGGCGGCGGGGCTCTTATTGGGCCGGGGGAGGGGAGGGGAGGGCGTGCGGTGCCGTGGCGCCGTGGATGGGAATGGAAAATGGATCCATCTGCTGCTGCTACTGCTACGTGTTGTAGCTGCTGCTGGTTCGACCCACTCCGGCTTCAGTTTCGGTTTGGGTTTCGGCTTGGCTTGGGTTTTGGTTGGGGTTGGATTTCTCTTGAATTTTTCTGCAGAGCACGACAGCGAAGTATTTTGGACTACTACTATAATAAAACATCTTCTTTTGAGAAGAATATGAAGATTTTGTTTTAGGTTGAAAACTGTGGGCTGGGCCCCGCCTGTCGGCTAGATATTATGAGATATTTGTTGCGCTTTGCACGCACTCGTCATTTGGGAAATGGGGAGCTAGCCCATGCGTGTCATTGGAGATACTTACGCCTTCATAGACACATACCCTTATGCACTCGCCCCTATGAATGCATGCACTCACATCTTAAACCCTATGGGCACTTTTGAGAGACTAAGCGGCACATCGTCTTGAGATTGACAAAGTCGTCATATACGCCTTCATAGTCGAATGAAACATTTCTCCCGCTAAATGCACTCTGAAATGTGCTAGTTTTTTGTTAAATACTCTTAGAATGTTATATTTCTTTCAAACATGGATCCATGGCTCTCACATGACGTCGACGGTTTCAGTTACTGCTTGCTATTTGTAAATATGGATCCACGGGCCCACGTGTCACCGAGGTCACATGCAGTCGGTGCTTTCTGAAACCGGCGTAACTTTCCTGACAGTCGATCAAATTTCTGCACCACCTGCGGCGCTTGGCCGGTTGAGTCAACAGAGACCCGAGGATTTTGCTTGCACACACACGGGGCCGGTGTGAGACGCAGGCCACAAGGCGTGATGCAACGGCCCGCGCATCACTTCACCAGGCTATGATACTTACTATATGGTCTTTCTTCCTCTCATCATAATTTCCACAGGTTCCAAGAAACGAGGGAATTACCATCAATCACGTCATAGTAACTATCATCGGCTTCCCCCTTTCTTTTCCAGAATAGAGGCGACAAACAAGCATACGGAAGCTAAAATTAACTCTCAAGTTAGGTCATACACATACGCTGCTGTTACCAGTCTCTCACACACACACACACACACACACACACACACCGACAAACCTATGTCTGCTGCTGCAATTTTCTCTCACTAATACTTGTAAGTTGTAACTGAAAATATCCTCCTCTGGTGGGTGACCCGACGAGTCGTTTCTCCCGTCGCAGACATCCTCCTACACCACCCCGGAGGGTAGCCGTAGCACCAGCTGCCCGCCGACCAGGCTGCACCGCCACAAACGCCCACCGTATTAAGCAATGTGCTTCAGGGTCAGATTCTGACATATGTGCATAGTGGATAGATGGTGAACTTACCTCTTCACATAGTAGTAGCAGAAATCCGCGAGGATGAAGGTCTGCACGATTTCTGACAGGAGAACCATGGATGGCCACAGCCCGTAGCCCAGCGCAGTCAACAGACGCCCACGGGTGTCCAGAACCTACACAATTCACACAAGCGTCAATGAGGGTTCTGTTTTCGGAAACTCGCCGACAAGAAAACTTGCAAATGCACATGTATAGCCGTAAATAGAATTTTCCTGGCATGTTATTAACCATACAAATTGCACTTCTTGCAAGGTGAACAAGAATGATGGAACATGTCCGGTGAATAATGATGCCCCCCAAAATACACACATTGAGGAAACTAAGACATAATAACTCATACCACGTGACGCATGTGGTAAGCAATCTAAACAAGTCAAAATAAAACACATAATAACTCATCACAGACAACGGTGTAAAGACGCAGTTGACAGCAACAAAAATGAAATGAACACAGAATGCCACCATGCAAATCACACTTACGAGATGAGCAACAAACATGACTCATATGTACTGCATAAAATAGGCTCGGGGAATCTTTTCAGAAGACAAACCTGGAGAACCCAGTGGGCACAGCTAAGAAACCTCGCAACCCCCAGCGCAAACACATAGTGAGCTGTGAACGGTTCCACAATCTGCACAAGATGGTTTGTCAGCAAACTTCACCTCGAGTAAGGAATTGCATTTTTATAGTTTACCTTGGTATTTTGCATCAAACGCAGTTGCGGCAGCACTGAGACAGCTTCCAGGTAAACACAGAACGCCCAGCTAAACCGGTTTGCGATGTTGTGAGACGTTGAAGGATGAACAACTAGTGCCAACACAGCACAAGGTATCACCTACAAATAACGTAAAATAAATTGGAAAAAAATTAAGTCCGCATGTATTACAAGTTAAGAGGAAGAGATTTGCAACTGAATAAGCAAAACAATCTGGTAGTTGTTTCAGCGCTTTAAGTTAGTTATACATGGTTTTCTTAACACTTCTACTCCTACTACCCATTAACCAATAAGATTTTACCACCACAAGTCATCCAGGGTGAGAGCCCATTAATTATCTTAAAACATTTTACCAGAAGATATGCAGATAGATCGGGCAAGATTATCACACTATGTTAAAGATGAAGGTGCCTGTATAGCACTATGATTTTCTAACTGAGCGCAAAGCTTACAGATAAGAAAGGCAGCAGACCCAGTAAAACAAAAAAAAGGAGTGATGCAGAGCACAAGTTGGAATAGTTCTATCTTTCATGCAAGGAAGCCACGGAAAGAATATAAATAGCAATTTGAATATGCAGAGAAGTAAGCAACTAATTAGCTGAGCATTGGTAAGTCAATTTTTAGCTTATTTATCAAGCTGCAACAAAAGTGTGAACATCACAGCCCCAGCTTATGAAAACCCAAATTTACAAATTAGGTAAAGGAGTTTGTGTATTCTTACCACATAGTACAATGCAAAGTTGTCCTTGTCCACCATATAAGTTGACCTAAGTTTGAACCGAATCATGTAAATAACAAAAAGTGTAGCCACAAGTGTAGCAGTATCCAACACTGTATGGATGTCATATTCCATGACAAAGCTGCAGTATAGTCTAACAGCTAGAAACAATGCAGTTAAATCCTGAGTCTTAAGGGATAGTCCTGCAAGATTTAAGAGAGAGAAGTCATCAGATACTTAGTAAAACAGAGAGCGCAAGTAACACCACAAAGAAACACATAAATCATAAGAGTGATTATAAATGCTAGCAGGTTTATACTTTATAATATTACCTATCTCACGTGTTTACATGTTTGAAAAGAGAAACTTTTCTGAGTAAAGCAAATACCGTACTCACAAAAATGTAATATATGGTCACAAACCATGTAGACAAAGCACAATAAAACATACACATGGCTGAAGAAAATTACGGAAATTTTGACAGCAAAACTATTTCTATGTTGGGATCAGAAACTAAAATTTTGATGATTCCAAGCTGGCTTATCACAATCATACCAACCATCAAATGTAAATTTATTCATCCACGTGCCAAAAAAGTATGCACATATTATTTGCCAGTTGAGGATTGAAAATATCACTGAAAATTTGTACATTAACAAGGATATGGTTGTTACAAATCAACTTCCTTTTCTACAGATTTAAGTCCAGATGGACCCAAAATGCACTCAGAAGTCAGCACATTACCTACCAACCACACATATAGAACTAAAGAAAATGTGTACGATGCAAATTAAAATTGTAGACTAGTACATTGATATTGCCACATATGATAATTCTAGGAAAAAAGGATAAAGCAGTTGGCTTTGCATACCAACACCAAATCGACCGTAAACATACGGACCTTGAAACAAATCTACATAGTTTCATTGTAAGATCATGCAAACACAATTTCAATACCAAGGCCTCTAAGCAGAAGAGGCTAGAAAAATCAAAAGCTGTAAAACAACATAATCGGATAAAAGGAGACATTTTCTCCATCTTGCATCGGCATTGAATCATTGAGCATATTCCCTCTAATTCCGTGCATAGCCAAGCCAAATCATAGTATCATATACACCTTAATCAAATGCATCCTCGCAGCCATGATTGTTATCACAACTTTCCAACTTTCTAATAGTATACCAGATCAGTGATTAGCTTCTTCTTATACACCAAAATTCGAAACCAACAGGGTGCCTACGCATCACTCCAGCTCAGTGAAGAAATCAAATCTTAGGAAATTGCCACTACCAACCGCGAAATTCAGGCAAGGAAATACTAGATCGAAATAAAATTCCAATCTGGGTGGCTGCCACCACCTAGATTTCACCAGGACAAACCACCAATCCGCCGATTTCCTTTTTCCTCTTACGAACTGCGCCGGAGAAACGTTTCCGAATCGCGCGGCCAGTCAGAAGGCCCCTAAAAAAATCACGAGCGGCGTCCACGGATCGATGCGCGGCCGTGAACGGGAGCGGCAGGGGAGGGGCGGGGGCACTAACCGGCGCAGGTCCTCTCCTTGGTGAGCTTGTAGATGAGCACGGCGATGCCGAGCGCGTGCACGGCCTCGGCGGCGACGAAAAGGTTGTCGTGGTCGTGGACGATGAAGCGGATGAAGACGAGCGCGGCCATGCCGGTGACCACGGCGAGGAAGGCCTTGACCTTGGGCGGCTGCCGGCGCACCCACGCCATCACCACGCCGAGCGGCCGCTTCGACGCCCTCATCGTCGCCCGTCGCCGCCTCCGATCGGAGAACACGGGATTTATTTCCTTTTTCTTTTCGTTTATTTTTCCACCCTGCCTTCGCTGCGGCGGCGTTCGTACGCGTGAGTTATTTTTGGAGGCTACGGGGGGGAGGAGGAGAGGGGGATAGATCGGGCGCAGTTATGGCAGGACTTCGTAATTTCAGCGTTCCGGACGGTATAGGGGGAGGAAATTAATGGGAGGCGTGAGACATTGACGATTTTGGCCCTCTGGTTTAATAATTCCTCCTTTTATGTCACGATTGTTTGGAAGAAAAAAATTGATAAGAACGCAGGCTTTATTGATGACTTAAGGGCATCTCAACAACGACGGCCCGCAAATTTTCTTCCGCATCCATCCGCCGATAAAGGAGGGGTCAGTCCGTGGACAAGGATGCGGGAGGCGGCCATTCAACATTGTCCGCATACATTTGAACAACAATTCAAACTAATTGGACGAAATTCGTTCAAACACGACCGGATTTCATCACATTTCGGATATATTTCAACTAAATGTGGTGCTCGTCCGGCTCTGAAGGTATAATTAATTAACCTAATCTATGATCGCCGGTGCCCGTTCCCCGTGTCCGACCATGAGCCCTAAGAACTGAAACTTCGCCTTCTTCAGTTCTGCCTCGGCGCTCTTCAGCTCCGCCTCTGGAGCCACGGGAAGTGAAGTTGTCCGTCTCCACGTCGCCGCCAAGCGGCAAATCGGCCGACGATGTTCAGCCCACCAAGCTTGGCTTCCACACGAGGGGAGGAGCTGTGGCCTTCTTGGGACTCGAGCGACGGTGACTGTTGGGGATATTACTACTAGACGTAAACTGGCCAGGAGTAGCCGGATTAACTTTATGAAGATTAGAAGCCCATGAAGACGTAAGAATGATGGCGCTTTATGAAGGCCCAAGGCCCAAAGACGAGTTAAAGCTTGTAGATGCAAACCGGCCTTATTATGTAACTTGCATTATAAGGTAGGAAGTATAGAGACCGAACCGGACACGTTTATGATCCGGCTTCGGGACTCTGTAAACCGGCGGGCGTCAACTTATGTATATAAAGGGACGACCCGGCAGCGGTTTAGGGACAACACACAACAACTCGAGAGCCAGTCAAAGCGGATTCGCTCCCTGGTCATCGAAACCCTAGCAATACCAATCACAACTAGACGTAGGCTTTTACCTTCATCGAAGGGGCCGAACTAGTATAAACTCTCCGTGTCCCCTTGTCCGGTTTAACCCCTTTAAGCTAACCCATTGCGGTGGCTTCACGACTAAGTCCTTTCACAAGGACATCTACCGTGACAAACCCACGACAGTTGGCGCCCACCGTGGGGCTATCGCATGATGATTTCGAGTTCTTGAAGGGCATCTTTGATGGACTCAAGGGATACATTGTGGGTCGGATGACGAAGATTCGTCGCGGCAAGCTCTACATCGACAACGCGGGATGGGGCCCCGAGTCCGATTCAATCGAATACGGGTACCGGGTCCCCTTTGGTGGGATTCACGTCTTCATCGGCAAGATTGGCGAACCGGGCCCTGAGCCGGACACCTGCACCGACGTCATCGAGACAGCTCAGCGTGCAAACCCTTCCCCGGTTCAGCCCATGGCAAAGCATGTTTTCGTAGGTGTCATCCACGGAGCTGAATATGAGGACGGACCGGCATCCGATGGAGAAACCGTTGTATGCTCCGACGACGAGTCTTCTGGAGAAACTGAATCGCTCTATCAGTTGCAGGATGGTCGGATTAGTGGAGGTTCCGAGGGCAACAGTATTCTGGACTCCCCTGATCTGCCAAACCGGGCCGCTATCTTCATGGCCGGTACACAATCAGCGCCCCACTCATCAACCGCCGCAGCAATGTACTCCGGTTCAGCAACAGCCACGCCGGTAGGGGCAGGGAGCTCTGCGCCACCTCCGGCTCAAGTTCTGTCTGACTTGTTCGACGCTTTGGCAACATTGATGGCCGCGAAGGTGGACGCAGCAGCCCGGGATCAGCACAACGCGGAGATCGCAAAGGTGAAAGATCAGATAACTCAGGCTAAAGCGGACCTAGCGGCAGAGAACGCTAGGATGGCTACAGAACGGGCCGAGTTGGAAGCTCAGGCCTACCGGCTTAGGCTGGATCAGAATGCTTCAGAAGAAGTCATGAGAAGAAGATACCGATCGCATCTCCCGCCGAGTTATGAGCCAAGAAATCTCTTCAACACGCCAGGAGCAGGAACTAGTATCCAGCCAATATTAAACCGGACGGAGGCGCCGGGAACAGGAGCGTCGGTTCAGCCGCGCACGATAGACCCGCCTCGTCAGAACAACATTGTGCCATAGTATGTTCCAACACCCCCCGGGCATTACTCCAACCCGTTGGACAACATTGTGGCCGCCGCTTCACGGTTGGCAGCCCTCCCAACCGACGGCGAATCACCAGTTGCGATTGAGGCACGACGGGCCAGAGATCTCCTTCAAACAGCTCCAAACCAGCAGCATGCATATTCGCACAGTCGTGAGAGGATTCATTCCACCCCCCGTCCAAGCCGGAGCTACAACAGGCATGTTGAGGATGAACCGGTCGTGTCAAGCAGTGCACGTCGCCGTAACTCGCCGCGAGGGCACAACCCGGCAGGGGGAGGTGCTAATGCACAAGATGTGGTGGATCATGGTCGCGCAAGTCGAGAGGCCGAGTTAGCAGCTCTGCACGGAGCTCGTCGACCTACTCCGGTTCACCCTACCACTTCAGTAGAGCCAGGTGTGGTATTCAGTTCCTTAGGGCTGCCGTGTCTCACCCCCGCTTTGCGTAATGTGCGATTGCCCAAGGATTTCAAAGGACCTCGTAAGGTACCCAATTACACCGCCGATCTGCAACCAGAGGCATGGGTTGAAAGCTACAAGATGGCAATGGAGATGTTAGATGTGGATGAAGCAGTATGTGCTAAATACTTCACCATGATGTTGGAAGGAACAACTCGTACTTGGTTGAAGAGCTTACCAACTAACTCTGTCAGATCATGGGCTGAATTGAAGCACCGGTTTATCCAGAAACTTCAAAGATACTTGTAAGCAGCCCATGTCAATTGTGGATCTGGCCGCTTCTGCATTCATCGGATCGTATCAATGTAGATACCGCAGTGCTAACGTTGGAGGGAAATTGCCGTTTTCTGCCGCTCAAACAGAAGTTAGGAAGACTCAAACGTCACTGCAATGATATGTCAACACTTATGGCCGCTTTGGTTAAGTATGCAGACTCAGATAATACCAAAGACCCTGACTCAAAGGAGGACAAACTGGGGAAAGGAAAAAAAGAATGGCAACACCAAGGGTCAGCAGCATAATCCGGCAGGCCATGGGAATAATGGTAAGCGCAAAGCCGACAACAGTTTGGACTTTGTGGCTAACACCAATGCTCAGGAGAATGGTCAGCGCCGTAAGAGCAAGCAGCCGCAGAGGGGCGGAGGTCCAGGCTCCAATTTGGAGCGCCTGTTAAATCACCCATGTCCAAAGCATGGATCAAAGGAGAAGCCAGCATCGCATATTTGGAAGGATTGTTATATTATGTGAGATTTCAAGAATTCCAATGTGTTTCAGTATGATAATGGCCCGCCCGGCGGTCCAGGAGATGGTTTCCACGGGCCGGGTTACGGAGGCGGCAACTCCGGTTCAGGATTTCAGGGCAATCAAACCAGACACAACAATCAAGGGAACCAGGGCAACCAGGGAGGTTACAACCATCAGGGGAACCAGCAGCAGCAGCGGCAGTCAGGTTATCAGAGCAATCCTAAGCAGTTAAATAGTGGGCAATATCATGTCTTCACCACTAGCTTGTGTAAGCGTGATCAGAAGCTTCACAAGAGGGCGGTGAACTCTGTTGAACCGGCGGTGCCTCAGTATTTGCGCTGGTCTGAGCAACCCATTTTATGGAGTAGAGAGGACCACCCGCCCCGGGTTGACAATCCGGGTCATCTGGCCTTAGTGGTGGCCCCTCAAGTTGGGGGATATAAGTTCACCAAGGTACTCATGGATGGGAGAAGTAGTATCAACATTCTATATTATGATACCTTCCGTCATATGGGGTTGACAGATAAGAATCTTAAACTGTCAAACACCGTTTTCCATGGTGTGGTGCCTGGTAAGTCTGCATATCCAGTGGGCAAGATAGCCTTAGAGGAGGCTTTTGGAGATGATCGTGATTCAAGATCAGAAACATTGACTTTTGAGGTGGTGAAAATCAAAAGTTCGTATCACGCTTTGTTTGGGCGACCGGCTGATGTCTACTACATAACCTTCTTCTTGTAGACGTTGTTGGGCCTCCAAGTGCAGAGGTTTGTAGGACAGTAGCAAATTTCCCTCAAGTGGATGACCTAAGGTTTATCAATCCGTAGGAGGCATAGGATGAAGATGGTCTCTCTCAAGCAACCCTGCAACCAAATAACAAAGAGTCTCTTGTGTCCCCAACACACCCAATACAATGGTAAATTGTATATGTGCACTAGTTCGGCGAAGAGATGGTGATACAAGTGGTATATGGATAGTAGATAAAGGTTTTTGTAATCTGAAAATATAAAAACAGCAAGGTAACTAATGATAAAAGTGAGCGTAAACGGTATTACAATGCTAGGAAACAAGGCCTAGGATTCATACTTTCACTAGTGCAAGTCCTCTCAACAATAATAAGATAATTGGATCACATAACTATCCCTCAACATGCAACAAAGAGTCACTCCAAAGTCACTAATAGCGGAGAACGAACGAAGAGATTATGGTAGGGTACGAAACCACCTCAAAGTTATTCTTTCCAATCAATCCGTTGGGCTATTCCTATAAGTGTCACAAACAGCCCTAGAGTTCGTACTAGAATAACACCTTAAGACACAAATCAATCAAAACCCTAATGTCACCTAGATACTCCAATGTCACCTCAAGTATCCGTGGGTATGATTGTACGATATGCGTCACACAATCTCAGATTCATCTATTCAACCAACACA